TCTAGGAGGAGGGGGAGGCTGGGTCTTGGCTGGAGTGACCAGCACAGAAACGCCTAGAGGCCCCTGAGAGCCCAGGCCTCGTCTCCGTCTTCTCCTCCTCCCCTCGGGTGGGCCTCTCGTGAGGTGTCACGAGAATGATGATCATGGCTATTGTCTGTGGCAGCCGAGAAAGAGACAGGGCAGAAGCAGGAACGTGGCCTGCGGGTGGCGTGGGAAGGACACAAGCTTCTATGGCCTGGTGGCCAGATATGGTGTGGGGCAGCGGGTGGGGCCAGGGCAGGGGATGGGCATGATGTGGGCGGGGCGAAAGGTGGGCGGGGCTTGGGTGGGGCTTAGACGGAGCCTTGGGGACCGCGCAAAGGTCTGACGTGAAACCCACATTAACTGGATTTTTTTCTGTGTCTCTGGTACTTTCTGCGACATCCATGAGGTTACAGTTTTGGTTAAAATAAATTTTCTTTCTGTGGCAGAAGAACAACTGGTACCTTGGCTGTGAATTCTTAGTGAGTCATCAGCAAATATACACCCAGTGTGAAACTGCTCAGCTGTTAGTTTCTATTTACTTCTTGTCAGCAGGGGAGAGAAACAGAAGAGTTAATTGGTGTATGCGAATGCCTGCCTTTGCGGAAAATATGTTCAATCCCTTTTTAGTTCCTCAGCCTATTTTTATTTGAACATCAGGGAAAGAAACTTAAGAAATGCTTTTCCATAGTCAAATAGGATAAAAATTTCACACTAGGTAAAGAGATTCCTTGCATATCACCCACATACCTTCTCTCCTCCACCTTCATAGTCAGGGCCCCCCCCCAAATGGTGCTGTAGCCCAGAGACCACACTGCACAATGCCACACAGAAACCAACTGCAGGGCAAACTGGGGAATAAGCCCTATGCTCCGGAAACAAAACCTCAAACAGTTAAATATAGTTACTATACAACCCAGCAATTCCACTCCTACTTATATACCCCAAAAAGATAAAAACATACATCCGCACAGAAACTTGTAAACAAACGTTTACAGCAACTCTATCCACAATAGCCAAAAAATGTAAACAACCCAAATGTCCATCCACAAATGCATGGATAAAAAAAATGTGGTCTATCCATACAATACAGTGTTACTCAGTTTTAAAAAGGAAGGAAATTCTGACACATGGTTACAACATGGATGAACACTGAAGACATGCGAAGTGAAATAATCCAGTTACAAAAGAATAAATACTGTACAATTCCACTTATATGAGGTTCCTCGAGTAGTCAAATTTATAGACAGAAAGTAGAAGGGTGTTTAGTAGGGGCTGTAGTAGGGTTTAGGAAGAGGGGAGCATGGGGAGTAATTGTTTAATGGGGACACAGTTTCAGCTTGGGGAAGATGAAAAAGTTCTGGTGATGGATGGCGGTGATGGTTGCACAACAATGTGCATGTGTTTAATCTCTCTGAACTGTACACTAAAAAACAGGTAAATTGTATGTTGTCAAACTGAATAAAGGAAACCTCTTTTAAAATGGAGTCGGGAGACCAGAAGGGGGAGCTCTCACACTCTACCACTGGTGGTTAAGTGCAGACCCCAACCGGAAGAAGGGTACGTTGCATTTTCCAACAGGAAGAAGCCCACTTTACTATCCCAGCAGGAGGGAGGAAGACTTTCTCCTTGCCGAGCAACAAGCCTAGCCAATGGGAAGTTGCTGCAGCTCAGCCAATGAGGAGCCGTCACAACCCCAGATTGCTGCCCTCCTCCAATGGACTTTTGCTTATTCCTACCCGTCTCAACTCCCTCGTGTTTCTCTGTCAAGTAATGATTCCTCTCCTTTGTTTGCCCGACTTGCCTGTGGCTTTGCCATAGCTTGCATGTCCCGAGTTGCAATTCTTTGCCATTTCTGAATAAACTCATTTTGCTGGTAAAATAACTGGCTGTTTTATTTTTAAAGTCAACAATGTTATGTATATTTTAAGACAACTTAAAAATGAAAACAGAACAAAACTGGGGCTGCGCTGCTGTGCTGACCAGCTCCAGCGATGGAAGCTGCAGGCAGGACCTCTGGCCATCATGGTTCCTCTGAGTCCCCATTTCCTCGGTGTCAGCAGCAATGACAACCCCCACCTCTCAGGGTTGCTGTGAAGTTCAAGTGAGCGAACCACAGATGCCCTGAGACTCTCTCACTGTCCATCGACCACAGGCCTGGACCACTCTAGATCCTCGCTGCCTAGTCTGGACAACCCAACCCCTCTCTGCTCCATGCATGGCCACGGGAAGACCTTCCTTCCCTCTCCCCTGGGGTACCATCCAATGTCACTAGCCTGGCGGAAACTGAGAACAGTCACAATTCACCAGGAGGTGCCTGTGGGAGCCGCCAGGGTGGAGGCTGACATCCAGAACACGACCTGTTCTCATCTCAAGGCGAGGATTGCCACGTGGAAATGAAATCTCTCTAAACTAGTGGTCCCCAACTACGTGTGATGGGGAGGGTTCTTCCATCCCCGTCCCAGGGACATATCGCAATTCTGGAGACATTTTCAGTGGTTACAACTGGGAGGAGGGGTGCACTGGGATCTCATGGATAGGGGTCAGGGATACTGCTCAGCATCTGGCAATGCATGGTACAGCCCCACCACAGAGAACGATCTGGCCCCCAGGGTCAAGAGTGCAGAGGTTCAGACACATTGCTCTAGACCCCAAGACCATCCAAGGGCCTCAGGAAAGGCTGGCTGGGGGGTCAGTAGGCACCCACTTCCCAGTCTAGGCTTTCTGGTGGGCAGAGCTCCACACTCCAAAACTCATTCCTGCTCTGAGTGGGCCCAGAGCCCCTCACCACCTTGCGCCTGCTGTGGACTGAATGTTTGTGTCCCCCCAAAATCTATATATTGAAACCCTAACTCCCAATGTGATGATACTTGGAGATGGGGCCTTTGGGAGGCAATTAGGGTTAGATGAGGTCATGAGGGTGGGGTCCCCATGATGGGATTAGTGTCCTTTCAGATTTATGGAGTGGAGGGAGTGTCCCACCATGGAATCAGCCCCCAGGCCAGGGGCTCTGGTGGTGGAAACCTTTCTTATTTGGCTTGTGAAACAAACATCTCTGGTGGAGACACATCTAGGCACTGTTTGGTGGGTCTTATGCTTATCCCAAGGCAGGAAGATGGAAATTCATGTGTGGATATAATCCTCTTCTTAGGTGGTTTTTTTTTTTTTTTTGGTGAGGAAGCTTGGCCATGAGCTAACATCTATGCCCATCTTCCTGTATTTTGTATATGGGATGCCTCCACAGCATGGCTTGATGAGTGGTGAGGAGGTCTGTGCCCGGGATCCAAAACTGTGAGCCCTGGGCCAACAAAGCAGAGCACGCGAACTTAACCACTATGCCACCAGGCCAGCCGCTTTAGGTGGTTATTTTTATTTGGACCTTCAGGTGGCAGTTGTCACGTTCTAGCTGAGCTGAGCCAGCTTGGAGGTGACTGCTGCCAAAAGATCCTGAGACTGAGGATGGTGGGCACGGGAGAAGAGCAGGCACAGTCTCCCCACCACAGTCCTCTCCATCTCACAGCTGGGAACACTGAAGGTGGGCTGAGGGCTTCCTGACCCCTACACTACAGTGAAGCTGGACACGCTGGGTGAGGCGTCCAGCAGAAGGAGGTATCCTGCCTTACCTAGGTATTTGTCAAGTGGCTCACAGCTGATTGGGACCTGAAACTGATCTAAAGATGGGAAGAGAAATTCCCCTGAGTTTTTTGGGTTCTTTTGTGAGAGTGAGAATGGGGACAAAATGCCACCTCCCTCGTATTTTTCCACAGTGTCCAGTTTCCATTCTCCTATCTTCCTCTGTCTGCTTTTTTTATAGAGGCTTCACCAGCACCTAAGCCAACTAATCAATCAATCAACAATAGGTGTTGTAAACTAAACTAGCTTTCCAAAGTAAACACGTCCAAACCAGTGCGAATGAGGAAGATAAAAATCTTAACTTCAACAATCGCTTTTGTGAGGCCAGCCCCATGCCTTAGCTGTTAAGTGCGTGCCTCCACTGCTGGCGGCCTGGGTTCAGATCCCAGGCGCACACCGACGCACCGCTTCTCTGGCCATGCTGAGGCCACGTCCCACATACAGCAACTAGAAGGCTGTGCAACTATGACATACAACTATCTACTGGGGCTTTGGGGGAAAAAAATAAAAGAACAAAACAAAAAAACAATCACTTTTGTAATTCTTATATTCTCCCTCCTCTGTCCCAAACCCCCAGCGAAGTGGGGTTTAAAGCAGTTCCCTGCACACGGCGCAGTGGGCCTTCTCCCGTACTGGGGGGAGCGGATGAAGCGGGAGAGGCCGAAGCCGCTGTCCTGCCGCCTGACCGCCGCTGTCCTGCCGCCTGACCACCACGCCCCCAGGCTGGCGTCTCTGGAGAGTGAGCGCTACGACGCCAGCGCGCGCCCCTCACTGCTGCCTGGATGCCGCGCGCGCACGGACGCACCCTCGGTCAGACCCGGAGCGCAGAAGGCTGGCCAGCCCCACGCCACCGCTCCCTGGAGAGGGAGAGAAGCCCACCGTGTCTTCTCCCCCTCGCCCGCACAGACTCGCGCCTGGACGCACACACAGGCACCCGCAAACGTACGCAGGCGCACGCGCACGCAGAGGCACACAGATGCACACACAGGCACACAGGCGCACGCGGGAGTGTAAACACTCAACCCCGCCCCCTGTTGGCCCCGCTCCTCATTGGCTGCGGGGGCAGCGTCCCCGCCCCCTGCCTCCTCTGGTCCCGCCCTACCTAGTCTCTGGGCCTCCATTGGCTGTGGCTGTAGCCTCACCGTCCTCGGCCCCGCCCCCTGCCCCGAGTCCCATCCACTATTGGCGGCGGCAGCCATATCCTGGAGAGGAGCGGGTGGGCGTCGCCCTGGAGGCGGAGACGAAAGCTAGATGGACGGGTAGTCCAGCCAATGAGCGTGCCCAGCCGCCCCAGCAACTGCGGTCCGCCAATGGCGGGGCGGGGCGGAGCTGCGCGCTGTCAGGCTGCAAGCGGCTGTCGCGGGCGGCGGGGTCCGCGGGGCCCTGGGTGCCCGGCCGTCCGCTCTACGCGTCTGCGGGCCGGTCATGGGCGCGGGCGGCGCGATGAGCGCCCTGGGCAGCCCGGTGCGCGCCTACGACTTCCTGCTCAAGTTCCTGCTGGTGGGCGACAGCGACGTGGGCAAGGGCGAGATCCTGGCGAGCCTGCAGGACGGCGCGGTCGAGTTCCCTTACGGTCACCCGGCGGGTGAGCGCGGGCCAGGCCGGGCCTGGGAGGGGACGCGGGGCCCGGGAGGAGAGGGGC